TTTTTTTTTTTTTTTGTTATCTCATGCCTATCCGTACTCATTTCAAGTACGAAAGTCAATCTTACATTTTTATTTTATGCCAATTTGAGAACCAAAATGGAGTAAAAGCTTATTCTTCTTTTTTTCTCTCTCCCTCTTTTGGGCTCACTTCAATGAAGGGTGGAAATTTTTAGGTTCTAAATACAATGCTCTCTCATGTGAATTCGAACGAAAAAGTTTCTATAGCCTAGTCTATCCTCTTTTCACAGTTCATTTTTGACCAGGAAAAACAAAAAAAAAATATAATTAATTACAATTCACATTAATTTATAAAATATTAATCACTTTAATTTCTTTGAATTTTATGTTTTTCTTTAAAAATATCTCATAAATTTAATATAATATAAATATTTAAATAACCAATCTCACTCTAATACATAATGGATTTGAAATTTAAACTTTTTTTTGAAAATTGTTACACATTGCCTTTTCCTGTATTTAATTGATTATTATCCTAAAATTGTTGAGGAGGTCCTAACAATAGAATTTGTCCAGAGACCATTTATGTACTTGGTGTTCATTAAGAAATTTGTTGTCCCTTTCTGTCAGCCAAAAACACTACATTAAGGATGGAGGATTAAGTAGGATTAGTTCGTGGTATGCTTTATGTTTTGGATAAAGGTAGCCAAAATCAAGGACTATTACATTATGTTTTCCCTCAGATTAAAATATCTGGAGCCAAAAGCGAATGAACCCCTTAAGCCCATTGACTAATTAATTAAGACCTCAAGACATGAGAAAATGCAGTGGACTGTCAAACGTTTCACATTTAGAGACTTCCAACTTTCTTTCAAAGTAATATTTGGTCAATATATAGTTTGATTACCAAATAAAATCTTTAACAAATACCACACAAAACGACATCATATTCACTTTTTTGGGAAAAAAAAAAAAGAGTTTTCTACACTTGAAATATTCAAACTCATTGGAACTACAGTTTGTGTCTCTTTTTGTGATTATTAAGCGTTGTTGTTCTTAATTAATTGCTCCAGCCAGATCTTCATGATTTACAACCTTTTCGATGAGATAGATAAATGATGACATGGTAGAAATTTGCAACATGGAATAGGGAAAAGTGGGTCCTCCTTTAATTTTGGTGGGGGTATCAATATCATTGGGACAAAGCAAAGCAAATAAGCATGCATGTGGGACAGAAAAAGTAAAGGTGAAGAATTGAATAATGATGGGGGGAATGGTAATAATAATAGTGGACATGGACATATGCATGGGAATGCCATGGATTTATGTGATGTGAATCTGACATTGTTGCGCGGTGCTGGGTCTTGGAATATAATAGAAGCCACAACATAAAGAACACGATGAAAGTAATAAATCACATCAAACAGTAAATTTTTGTTCAGAGAGGGTAAATTTATTTTCTAATATTGGTGCTTATAATTCAATTATCTCATAAAAGAGTAGTTAGCTTAATTATAATTTATTAAGAACTATACAACTAGAGTTTGTTAAAGCAACACTCACTTTTTATACTTCTCATAACATAGTTACCCTTTGATTTTCTTGATGAAGGTTTGGTTACTAACATGTTTGCTGCTGCATTTTGGGCCATTTACATTCCTTGCATTTTGGTTACATTCTTTGCTTGAACTTCTGAGGCTGTCGTGGCTGTCACACTTGGCATTGACATGTACTCAGTCGGAATCAAGGATGGGATAAGTCAGCTTTTATTTCTTGATTGTCGGTTGTCCATTGCCAATCCGTTCTGCAGACTGGTCTGCATATAGTCAAATTTGTTTTTGCAACCATTATCTTCTCCATTCCGCCATGTTGTGACTTGAGATTCACTGGACTTGCTTCCCTCTAGCATCTCCTCTTGTTTAATCATTCTTCCAAGTCAAAATTCGAACACCCTTTTACGTGATTTTGGATCAATGTCAGCATTAGGATCAGCCTCTTTCACACAATCTACTTCATGAGTTGCTTCTGCTTTTAGGCCTTTTCTGCGTACATACTTCCTTGTCCCAGTTTTTCCAGCACTAGGATCAGAGCCCCTTATAGAATCGGCCTCCTCACAGGTTGATTCTGTCGGGCGCTTCTTGCGAATGTACTTCCTCTTTCCACTGGGATTGTCCTCGGAGTCAAATGTTGTCTGCAGTACCAGACTCTGGAGCCCTTTTTGATTCGTCTTCTGCAATTACTTTGGGCCTGTATTTTCTTTGTTTAGCTGGTTTAATTAGGCTAGGGAGTCTTGGTCAGATCTATACCTTGGTGACCACTTCCCCCGTTAGACTCCATTTTTTCTTCTGTTGGTGTGGAAATGACAGCAAATGCTGACTCCACAATGTCCTGGAAGAGCCCGTTAAAAATTTATTCCAAGTGGATGGGATTAAGCTTTCCTGCTTTTCCTTTTTCATAAATTGAGCTTTCAACGTCTGTATAAAAGTTAGTAATGCAAAAAGCTGCTAGTTCTCCATCTTCATGGTTGGATCTGATGCTGCTGGCCTACACTGGAATGAGGCCGTGACATTGGAGGCCGCATCAGCTTCAGTCATTGGTGATGAGTTCAGATTGTACATTGGTCTATACCCAAAATGCTGGAAATGGAAATCTATCTATATATATTAAGGGCCAAAAAAAAGAACTTTTTTCTTGAGAGAAGATCCATTAATGATTAGAAGAGCTCAATTTTGATTGAACTTAAGTTACCAATGACCTCTTTTCCGTGCAAAACATGCTGCATTTTGCAGTAACTAGTTTGAAAAACAACAGAGAAAGAAGACCTTCATGGAATTCATATGAATACTTCATAAAAAATTTCCATAAATCCTTGAAACAGCATAAATGATGCAATTAGCTTCAATTTGGCTTTTGCATGCACAAAACTCCATCCTATCATTTCAACGAAATTTCAAAGGAAGCTATCATTATCATTATACGCCAGATAATCAAAAAATTACTTGTTATTTGTTATGGGTAGACTGCCACTAAAAAAAACACTAATTTTCTTACTAAATGAATATTGTCTAAAAGGTTTTGTCAGATTTCTAAGGCATTTAATTTTGAAGAAATTATGAGGGATAACCTTTCTTGATAAGAGCATTTTAAAAATAACCATCAAAATAAATTTAACTGTTTGTAACCATATTTAGCCATGAGTTGATAAAAACACCATTAAAACTATTTCAAATAAATTAAACTATTCATCACAATTTCTCTCCATTTGTACTTTCGATTTCTCTCTCTCAACATCCCACTCTCTTTAATTCTATCTATTTCTCTCTTCGACATTTGTCTACTATACTTCCGATTTCTCTCTCGCTTTTTCATATTTTTCTTTTCAGCACTTTGAAGACACTAAACGATGGTTTTGATGTGCTTGAGTGGATAGCTATTTGAAAATTTTGATTTTTAGGTATTTTGGATAAAACTACACAGTAAAAATTATCACAGATATTTGAAATAACTTTTAATTGGATCAATTTGGGATCTAAACACCAATAAACTCAAAATTTTAAAATTTATAAACCTAAGTTTTCAATAAAATTTTTTTTCAATTTTTAGTCAAAATAGTTGTTTTAGATAAGAAAATTTGTGTTTTGATTTATAAAAACATGTTAGAAACACTTTAATCGGTGCCCAATTGTCAAAGAAATAAAAAGAGTTGAGAGGATTTG